AAGTGATTTTCTTTAATAAAAAAAATAGTGAAAAATCGACATAATTATATTGCTTAAACAAAAAGGATCATGCTTATTATATACCAATTCACTTTTTGGCATTTTGTCGTGTCCTTATGATTCTCTTAGGTGAGTGATTAATTCTTGAAGCATATATCAACAAACGTCAATCAGCCATTAAACAATCTCATTCAGAATCATACTCGAATGCACTCGTCTCTCTAARTCGTTCCTTAATCAATTTATTTTATCTCTCAAATTGGGTCAAATTGAAACTTTAAAATTTCATTTTCCTTAACAGTCGAGGACGCATTCAGTCTTTGTTCAACAGTCAGCTTTGATAACAGAAACACTAAAGGTTTTGAAGAGAAAGAAGAACTGCCGTCACTGTCGACTCAAGAAAACTGATCGAGTCGCCTTTCCGGGTCGCCTTTATGCGTATAGCTGCGTATTCTCGCGATGGATGAAGCTAAAGTTAATTGTCGCACACAAATCTTGACGATATCAGTGTGGCTGATCGTTTGTATTAYGTATCTTTGTCTGGGAATGGTTGTCTTTGTAGCACTCGAAGAAAAGACAACCGACCAAACGATACAACACAAGAAGAAAATGCAAGAGAACCTAAAGACAGATATTCAAGTCAAGTTCAACTTGAGTGACCAGGAGTTTGAATATCTGGTCGAGCGAACTGTGGAGGCCTATTCGTCTATGCCAACRCAATGGAGCTATCTAAACTCGTTTGCATTTGTCTTGCAAACCATTACAACCATTGGTAAGTCAATTAATAGGATATTCAGAAGAATTGATACATATATATAACATAGAAGGATAGTATTAATATTAGCCTGAAATGGAAAAAAAATTGCGTGACAGGGTTTCATCTGCCAGTTATCATGTCAACAGCCTCAGCGATGATCATTTTCGCGCATGATATGACCCGCCACAAGATGACTCATCAGCTGAGCCTCGAGTTGTGGCTGAAAGTCAAGAACATGGAAATTCATTGCTCATAGAAACCTAGGAATGCTCAAAATATATAAGAGTAGTTTACCCGAATACTTTTCTGACCYCAAGGGTCATAATTGATCCCCAATTGATCACCCAACTTTTGCTTTCGTACCTTTGTTGAAAATAAGTCAAGAGTTAACTAACGTTGGCAGCTGACCAATCCATTTTGAGAACTTGTTTCCTTAGTATCTTATTTCTCTTTGGCAAATTTCCTAAAAAACGAGGTGTTTTTGTGTAAATCAAGAGTTTCGTATCCGGCCGAAGAACAATGATGCAATAAGCTATTTCCCTAAGGGTATCCAACGGTGTTTTCGTGGAATTCTATATTCTATCACAGGTAGCCCAAGCAAGGTTCCTGTATGTGGTTTATAAGGGAATGCATGGGAGTTATGATGAAGATATGACAATAAAATGTTTCACTCAACAATTTGCTGCAAAACTTGCTGCAGTCGTTGCTTGTACTATACCTTGTTTAGTCTTCTGGCGAAGTTTCAGCGCGATTTAGGGCGGTCGTTCAGTTCGTTTGGGCTGCCTGTGATTCTTTTATGAACCGAATAAGTTCGGTGGGATACTCCCATTTAAAAAAAGGGCATAATCGTGAAAACAAATTAATTTTGCCCCTAGAAGAAGGAAAGTTTTGGCTTGGTCCAGCTTAATTTTTAGCAAAAATATAATTGAGTTCAATTGTAACATATACTGAAAGCCGTATATAAGKGATAATTGTGACATAGGTATGATGTTGGGAGCCATCGCGCCGTACCCCTAAAAGATACCGCACGTGCTAAAAAAAACAGCTTCTCCTTTTAATCCACCCCTAAAAGAGGGGATTACTTACGATTTCCACCCCTTTACGACGATCATCCCCAACCATCCGTTCCCTTACAGTTCCCGTGACATGCTATATTAATTTCATCTYGCCCATCTCTTATTCCTTGAGAGCTTTGATAAGAATAGATGACAGGTGAATAGGTGGTCAGCCGAGTATTTTCAAAATGCCACTTTATAAAATGGAYTTCGGAAAATTCGACGCGACAAAGATGACTAGCAGACATGTGGCTGCCTGAGCTGACAAGAGAATGAATGAATGAATTCATTTGTTTACTAAGTATAAATCTKTTATTTTTAAGATTCACCATGTGACTAAACCCGTAGCTAGTCACTTCTACATTTTTCCAACAAGGTTTTGGTTACCGGGCTCCTTTGGTGTAAAGTAAAAGAGACACCCACGACAAATATGTAGATTAAGAAATATTTCAGCACTAGTGATGAAAATGGTTTTTCATTAGGTTTCAAAACCCATCCACGTGATCTGAAAAGGGCCCTTCCATTGGTTGCTGAGCGTATGAATCATTAATGAGTTTGAAAATAATGAAGCACAGTTTTCGACCAATCGGCAGGCGCGTACTATCCCAACTATATAATAATGAGTAATAAATAGAGCAAAACCTTTCTTTCTATTGTTTGAATAGTACTATTTAACACTTATTGATTCAWGCTATTTACTCGATCAGGTAGTTTAAATTTATATTTATATATTTTTTCAATGTCAGGTTACGGCTACATCACTCCAATTACCGATGGTGGTCGAATCTTCTGYATATTYTATGCTCTGTTTGGTATCCCTTTAGCTGCATTACTTCTCCAATCGACAGGTAAAGCCATCTTTCAGATCCTCGTGGCGGCCATAATTGGGTTGGRAAAAAAAGTCAAMCAGGGAAWAGTGAACGTAMAAAATGCCGAGGAGAAAAGCTTCATCGGATCGTTCCTTTTACTGACTGTTGTCATCATTCTCTACAGTGTGATTTTTGTTTACGGTTACCAACTAGGTACGTTTGTCGAAGGGGTATACTCTTGGTTCATTACCTTGACAACCATTGGGTATGGCGATATTGTACCTGGCCAATCTTCGAAGAGCTTGACGTTGATATGGATGCGGGTGATTTTTATGTTTCTGGGTCTGAGTATCACRTCAAGTGTTCTCAACTCATTGGGAACGTGCATAGAAAAGCGCCGTAAAAAGACGACGTTTTGTAAATGTTMCAAGTGGAGAATGGGGTCAGCARCACGATTGTCAAAGAACGCAAAGGAAGTAGAAATAGATGGAAAGGCCATAGAAGGTTCGTACATCAAGCGATCAGACGAGAACCGCGAGCAAGAAGTTGATTATGAGCTAGACGACTTGTAATGAAATGCCTTGCATTTCAGAACGTTTTCTARGATTTTTAGCACAGTTTGAGTGAGGAAATAAGTTTTTTTCTCCGATTATACAAAAAATTTCGCAAACGCAAGATGAAAGAATTAGTCTTAAGTTGAAAGCCGGGTATTGGCACTATAGGCATTGCCAATTCGTCAGGCATGTTTGGAAGTCAAGTTTACATATATTTAAAAAAGCATAAAGACGTTTGCACTAGTTTGCACTTAGAGCATGCGCAGACGTTTCTCACTTGTGTCAGAAGTCTAGATGGCAAGATCTACGTATATAGGATATACACGACTGACAAGAGAATATTCTCTTGTTCAAACTAATGACGGTCAGTGTTTTGATGTATATGTATTTCATTACTTTGCCATGCATTTGCTTATATGATAGATATCTTCAGAATAATCTATATCCTGCTGCGCGAAATCTCACTCCAGAGGGGCTCAACCATTTTGCTGGCTCTTGCTTCAGGTTTAATGTTCATATTTGGCATAGATAAAAATACCTCAACTCCCGAAACACGTAGRTCGTTTTTGTTGTATATGTAATGGGAGATGGACACAGTCTAGTGAGTTATGGACTTCTAGTATATATAGATGGCTGCTGAAGACTTCGAATTGCGATTTGAATGTCGCTGTATCAGTATGAATACTCTTGCTATCATTCATATACCCTTCATAGCATTGATATCAGGATAGATCTATTTATAATTAATGCATACCCTTGTCTAGTATGATCAAATGCATGGATGATTTTCTTTAACAAAAAGTCATGAAAAAATAAATATACTGATTACTGGGATACCTGTGGCTCACAGTCATAAAATGTCTTTGCTTTTTCTGTCTGTGAAGAGGGTCACATATACGAAAACCCAAAACAAGATGCCGGCGCTCGACCCATTCCTCTCTCAGTGATGACCGCAATGTATCACGGATCCAAAAAACTTAAGAAACACTGACACCATCAAAACATTTTTYACTACAGTCGCAAAAATTTATACTACCCTAAAAAAAATATTACTAATACGAAAAAAAATGCATATACATTCAAAAAATTTCTACATAAATTTCTTTCATACACTATCATAAAAAAATGATAATATAATATGCAAAAAATGAAAAATACAAATAGAAAAGCGAAACAGAAACACAAAAGCATGATGATAGCATGGAAATCAGTCCAGCCAATAGCATTTATTTTTATTAGAGCATAGTTTTGACCAGTATGGGCCTTCATACAAGAGACCTTTGCGGGCATATGCTATGGGGTTCACATCCATAGTCCAATCAATTATCATGTACCAGATGTCAATTCAATGTCACTATGTTGTCAAGTGATTATGAGAGGGCGGAGCTAGTAGATCACGTGGCAGAGGTTAATGTCTACGCATGCTCTATTTCGTTGACTGCCGTAATTCAAGACAGCCGAACTAGAAATATTAATTTNCAGCTCGAATGAAAGAGTTTTAATTTTGGAACGATTTTCGTCCAAGTGGCCCTTTAAGAAACTAATAGTTAACAGTAATAAACCAAGCAGGAAGTGACGTAAGCACGAAAGAAGTGTAAGGAGAAGCACGAGTCGTAGGCAAGTGTCTTCATCGCTTCTTGAGTGATTACGGAGCTTACTTTTACGAAGTGCTTTATTACTGAACGGAGTATGGAAAAAGCTGTTTTATTCGTTTTATTATATAGTTATTAATCATATTTCGGTATTGAATTTATTTACGCAAAAAGAAAGGCAGGATATAGGCGTCAGCACTGGATGGCGTCAGCACTGTGCTCCGTTCACTATGAAGTAATATTTCAAAAACGAGTGAGAGTCTTTTATTAGGGTTTCCAAACACGAGAAAACATTTGAAAGCACGAAGCCGTAGGCCGAGTGATTTATTGTTTTTGAGTGTTTGGAAACCCTAATGAAACACGAAGCACGAGTTTTGGAATTACTTCTCTAATGAGTTAATAATTTATTATGCAGGAAAAGAAGTTTCCTTGTTTTTATTTTTGTATTTAATATACGTAGAGCAGGTGTATGGGGGAAAAAATTATAAAATATAGATCCAACCCAACTTTGTCAGCAAATTCCTCGTTGGCATAGTTGGTGAATCACTAGACAATCATGCAAAGGGTAGCCAGGTTCGTGACATGGTAAGTCCAAGGTAAAGAGAAAAGAAAAAGTTAATTACGTAGATAAGTAGATAGAAGTCTGAGAAGTAAGCAATGGAGAAGAGAGAGGTAAAGAAATGAGGCAAATGAGTGGAAAGTGGATAAGAAATTCTTCCAGCTATTTTGAGACACCCACGATAAATATGTAGATTAAGAAATATTTCAGCACTAGTGATGTTTGAGAATAATGAAGCACAGTTTTCGACCAATCGGCAGGCGCGTACTATCCTAACTATATAATAATGAGTAATAAATAGAGCAAAACCTTTCTTTCTATTGTTTGAATAGTACTATTTAACACTTATTGATTCAAGCTATTTACTCG